ACATCCCCCTTCATTTTGAAAGAAATGATTTTTCCACTTGTATATATAGGGATGGCTGCAAGCACCAAAAAGGAAGATACAAGGGGTCATAATACACAGCAAAGATAGACAAAGCTACATGACACCATCCCTATATCTTTGCATATCCATGACACACTCGAGCTCTTATTAGTTATGGTTTTCCACAAATAACTTGAGCACATTTTATACCTCATCCAATGGTATATCTTCTCCAATTAGACAGTCCTGAATTCTCTCAGACAAGCCACACTGCATTACAGGCACAGCCTGCAATTTAAAATAAGCAGTGACACCCTACTATAATACCTAGTATTTCACATTTAAATAAGATACCTCATCATTAACCCTCGGCACGCATGCACAGTGAGGGTTAACTGTAGTTGGTTTGTCTGTCTGTGTGTCGACGCTTATTCTGGCACTACAGGCTACGAGGCGGCCTATTAGCGATACCAGCGGCTTCAGATTCAGAACTACGCGAGACTGAAAAGCAATGCTGCACCTATTGTGCCTATGAAAACTCTGTGACCAATTTCTATATTATTGTATTTGATCGCACCATAACTTTAAATGGCTGCAATAATACGTTGTTGAATTTTAAGTACAGAGACACAAACAAAGTAAAGTACCACGATCCTCGCTGTGCATAATGTACATTGAGGGCCAAAACGATTAACATTACAAGACCAGACTGATGTAAATGTTTGGTAACTTACTTTTAGATATCTTCTTATTAAACAAACCTGTACAAAGGGAATAGGAGTGTAGTGTAACATATCACCCTAGAGACTTACATACTCACCAGAATGGTAATTACTACAACAGAAGCTATAACAAACACAGCTGCGGCAACTGTACCACCCACAACTCCAGATTCTGCAGAAACAGCAACTGCACTAAAAAACTCCTTAGGCATTTTCTTATGATGTCCCAGGGGACCGAATCTATAATTATACACTGTATACTTACACTTACATACCAGATTCTTTCGGTTCAACAGCTGCTGATGTCTGTCCTAAGTCAAGAAATACAGAGTGTATGATGACACACCCATCACACACATTGTTAACCCTTGGTGCAACCCTCCATCCCTACATCTGTCTGTCCTGCCTGTCTGTCTGTTATATACAATATTTCCCCCACATACACGACTAAGATCTTGTTTTCGTAAAAACTACTGTGTTCAAAGGTTATAATAAAATGTGAAATGCAAGTTAAGAAGCCAATTGCTAATAAGCATGTCTTTCTCACTTGTGTTTCATGCCACAGTTTTGAATGCAGGAAAATTACTTTTTAAATCTATCATTGGCTCTACTACAATAGTGAGCCAGGGAATGTTGAAGCAAGAGCCATTATTCATGTGTGCATGCAGCAACGCCCTCGAAATAGCACTGAGGATGACGTAAAAGCTAAATCACAAACATTCCTTTATCATGGCATTCATGAGTCGAGACTGTATATACATTGCAAGGCAGCAACATTGGCACACAATAGTTACACATGCACAAAATACTGTTAATGTATGTACGTACTTGGATTAATACTTGTTGTACTTGGATTTATACTTGTTGGATATTCTGTAGAGAAAGAGAGAAATGCTGAAGCTACCCATGCAGAAAATCTCTACTCGCACCTTTCAGGAAGATGTCGAGAGGGTCACTAACATTGCTTTTAACGGTACCATCACAGCGTTGAGAAAATACAGTGGCAGTGTAACGAGTCCCAACAGTTAAACTTTGATTCACTTGTGGCACTTTCGTGGTCCAGGTTGTAGTGTGGGTGGAGTTTTTGACTGAGAGATGATATTCAATGTCATTCTTAGTACCATCAGGTGTTGTCCACTTGATTGTCACATTCCGAATTTTTTTGTCACCAGGCATCTCGATATAGCTGAGGACAGGTGTGTGCAAAGCTGAAGAAAAGGGAAAACAAACAGACCGAGATGCATTGGCCAATAGATGTATATAATGTATCTTCACACTCATTCTATAGCTTCCTAAGTAGAAAATATACCTTGCGCAATAAGAGAAACTTTTTCTTCTTGTGTTCCATCACTGCAAATGAGGGTTCTGGCATCGGTAGACTTGGCAGTGAAGGTAGCCTCAGACACTATGAGGGCATCATTACACTCGCAGGACCCAGTCACATTTTCAACTATCCCAAAACCACAGTCAAAGTTCAGGATAGTATCACAGAAAACAGCATGTCCACCTTGACTGTTTTCAGCACACTTCCACGAGAGAAAAGGCGTTGTTTGGTCGCTCAGAGTGGTGTTTACGACACAGCGCAGAGTAATTGGGTGAAACGGACAAATGGTTTCGCTATCCTTTACTGAAACAGAGACTGCAAAAATTTAAATAGTGATGGCTCAGTCGGGCACTGCACATACCGTAAAGTTGTATATACATGATTCTAAATACATGCAAAACACAAGCAAAATATTGAACTGCTTGTGCTCTCACTCGTCAACCATTCCTCTAGTTTTTATATTATACTACACCACAATATGCAAACACTCAAACTAAGCGTGTCAGATAACTGAGGTTCCAACTGCTCTTTCCAGCATCAGGGCAGTTATTCGCAACGCAAGTTACAGTGTTTGCTGACAGTGGATGAACAATTGATATGAACTCAGTAATTAATCCCACCCAGGGAACATGGATGTATCCAACCTTATAATATTCTAAGAGATTCAGATTAGAACAACAGATTATAAGGCCTTTGGATTCCAACTACCTTTTGCCGCGGTCTCTTCTGTCTAGATCTCGCATATCGTGTGTGCACGCCTAGTAGCGTTCACAGGGTGGTGGGGGGAGGGGATATTCTGGTGGAACTTTAGCCATGCTGCCTTTTATTGACAGGCCGATGTCATCATGCATCTTCACCGTCATTTCTAGTTCGCTAAACTGACCTGACGGATTATTTATGTCACACTCGTCACCATACACAACTGATGTCGTCACAACAGCCAGAGCTACGGCGCTCCACAGAACGCATAATATAGAACCAGCAGCCATAAGGAACACTACCGATCGCGATGATCCCGACAAGACCGATCGCAATGGCCCCACACCCACAGGACCGCACCCTTCATTGCTTGTATGACGAGCAATTTCATGGTTTCGCGCGCATGCTCATGTTCGACTAGTGATTTCATTAGACATAATTCTAAGTATTTATGGGAAGTATATTTAACTGTTCGTGCTTGCTCGCCAAAAATGCGTAGCATTCGTTCTAGTATATTAGCTAAAATGTATGTAATTTTGTTGTGTACAATAGGTCAAGAAAAAATAAAACTACAGCTAACTAGCGCTGTTTGATGTAACATCATTAATAATTGGGTCACTTCTAGCTTTCGTTCCATCATATATTAATCTTAGAATGTGAAATTTGCCTTCATAACTTCCTTGACTATATATTATTTTGTCATTATGGTGAACAATTACAATCGGGCAGCACTTCTCTGACTGGCAAATCTGACAAGAAGTTGGATAGAAGTAGTTGAGGATCAACTGGTTTTCTTGGTAATGCAGACACAAAATGCGGCCTCCATTTTTCTCATCTTTCTCTGTCACATATAAGTATTGGTTATCAGAACATATTTCTCGGAGTGCGATTCCAGGTTTGAACCGTTTATTAATAAGACCAGTCTTCATTTTCCCACAATTTTTCACTCTAAATTTCATATTTTCAATATCTATATCCAGGATTTCAATAGCAGCTATAGTGGTAACGAAATACTTGTCATTAAGCTTTGTAATTCCAATCGGATTAAAAGATAAATTCAAGAAATACTTAAGATTCAAGTCCAAGTCCAAAATGCATACCTTTTGGTTAACGTGTGCGCAAACAAAAACATGTTCATCAGTCACCAAAATTCCATACGCCACACCAAAATGTTCTGCACAGCTCTCTATTTGTTTTTCTGACTGGGTTCAGTTCTTCATCAAATTTTATAACTTTTGAATTGTTAGCTACCAGAACATAAGACATACAGAAAACCATTATCCCCCTTTCCAATTCCACGAACAAATTCCGGTAGGGATACATCGCAAACAAAAGTCCCGTTGTGTTCACATTTGCGCAGAAACACTTTATCTTTTTCAGTGAACGAATAGTAGATATACAAGTGGAAAAATCATTTCTTCAAAATCTGTGTAATGACCCCCTTGTTTCTTCCTTTTTGGTGCTTCAAGCCATCCCTATATCCCCCTTTCATTTTGAAGAAATGATTTTTCCACTTGTTTTAAGTACAGGCTACACAAACAAAGCCAAGTGGCTATATACCATGATCCTCGCCTGTGCATAATGTACATTGAGGGCCAAAATTATTGACACTATAAGACCAGACTGATGTATTTGTTACTTACTATTAGATATCTTCTTATGAAACAAACCTGTACAAAGGGAATAGGAGTGTAGTGTAACATATCCCCCTAGAGACTTACATACTCACCAGAATGGTAATTACTGCTATAACAAACACAGCTGCGGCAACTGCACCACCCACAACTCCACCAACTCCAGATTCTGCAGAAACAACCACTCTAGGCAACACTACAAAAACTCTTTTAAGGCCATTTCCTTATAATGTCCCAGGGGACCCATTCTATAGAATATGCATTAATATTATACACTGTATACTTATGTACCAGATTCTTTTGGTTCAACAGCTGATGATGTCTGTCCTAAGTTGAGAAATACAGAGTGTATGATGACACAGCAATTACACACATTGTTAACTCTCAGTAACATCCCTGTCTGTCTGTCTGTTATATATATCTGGTTATATATACACCCACAACGTACAACTAAGATCTTGATTTGGCAGTTTTCATAAAACTACTGCGTTCAAAGGTTATATGTGCTGTGAAATGCAAGTTAAGAAGCCAATATGCTAATAAGCATGTCTTTCTCACACCACAGTTTTGAATGCAGGAAAATTACTCTATGATTTCCTCTACTACAATAGTGAGCCATGGAATGTTGAAGCAGGAGCCATCATTATTCATGTGTGAAATTGCACTGAGGATAACGTAAAAGCTAAATCACAAACATTCCTTTATCATGGCATTCATTAGTCGAGACACTATATAGCTACTGCAAGGCAGCAACATTGGCACACAATAGTTACACATGCACAAAATACTGTTAATGTATGTACGTACTTGGATTAATACTTGTTGTACTTGGATTTATACTTGTTGGATATTCTGTAGTGAAAGAGAGGAATGCTGAAGCTATACCCATGCAGAAAATCTCTACTCGCACCTTTCAGGAATATGTCGAGAGGGTCACTAACATTGCTTTTAACGGTACCATCACAGCGTTGAGAAAATACGGTGGCAGTGTAACGAGTCCCAACAGTTAAACTTTGATTCACTTGTGGCACTTTCGTGGTCCAGGGTGTAGTGTGGGTGGAGTTTTTGACTGAGAGATGATATTCAATGTCATTATTAGTACCATCAGGTGTTGTCCACTTGATTGTCACATTCCGAATTTTTTTGTCACCAGGCATTTCGATATAGCTGAGGACAGGTGTGTGCAAAGCTGAAGAGAAGGGAAACAAACAGACCGAGATGCATTGGCCAATAGATGTTTACAAGTGGAAAAA